ACTTTTTTGTCCTTTTTATCTTTCATTTTCTCCATGCAAACTTGGTATATGCCTGAAGGAGTAGTTATTTGAAGTTTGTTACATACAATCACAAATGGACATCATGCTACAAAATATAAAGAAATTATTCAGAATTAATATATAGTACAAAGGCTAACCATGAATGCTCCTGTTAGGTTATGTTCTTGTCTTTCAAGAGGAAGTTGTACGTAGACAAAAAATTGTTGAGAAGCATTTGTTTTCAATTAGCAACTCCAGTATGCCCTTTCTCTCAAATTTGAATTTTATTTATTTATTTATTTTTCATGTACAATTGCAGTCTCTGCTCTGTGATCCAAATCCCAACTCACCAGCCAACTCTGAAGCTGCACGGTTGTTTAGCGAGAACAAACGTGAATATAATAGGAAGGTGCGTGAAATTGTTGAGCAGAGTTGGACGGCAGATTAAATGTTCACATAGAAGTTGTGTAACAGGATATTGCAATTGTTAGAGCTAAGGTTGATGTGGCAGGATCCTTTCTCCTTTGTAGGATTGTCTTTCAGTCAAATGCTTGTTTTTAGTACCATTGCTACATTAGTGACTGATGTTGTTGGGAAAACATTTTTAAGAAGATTATGCCGTGTTTGTTTCCCATGGACTCCCCCGTGTCTTCATCGAAATTTGTCGTGTTCTCTTGCGTGGCAGTGTATGTACATAATGATATATTGTATCCGATTGCGTGAAAGTGGATGGAACTTGGAACTTTATTTTTTCGCCATTTCTCTCTTAATAAATTTCAGATGTTCATTTCTTTTCCCTCTAGGCATGTCTAGATACTTTGTGACGGTTGTTTTACACCAGGAGCTGGAATTTTGAGACATCATCTAATGTTGAAGCGTGTATTATGTACATGGCTGTTTCAGCGCTCAGTCTGCCTGCATGATACATCGTTTTGCACTTGTCTTCAAATGTGTGATTGAAAATGATATTGAAGAAAAATCTCTTACAAGGCTGAGATTGATACACAGGTGTCAGTGGTTCGATCAATGGGCAATTGGGCAAAAAAATGAACCATAGGCGTGCAGTTTTATCAGAAAATGTCTGGTGTTTGAGTATATATTGCTTGCTAACGACTTATTACATTGTAACTGTATATTTCGACTACAAAAACATTTTACTCCATGTCGAATTCGAATAAAACTTCAAATTATTAGAGTATAACCAGTTTGGCATAGTTTATTTATAAATTATTTGTGCGCAAATTTAATTTTGAGTGCACATTCTTTCACAAAAATCATATTTCACTTAAAATAACCTCTCATAAAAAAACACTGAACAGTATATTTACTTATTTTATTTCAGTAATATTTACCCCCTGTTTGAGTCCCATTTTTTGCGAAGAAATGTGTTGGAATAGTATTTTCTGTAGATTGCGTGGTTAAAAAGTACGATTTTTTAAAATTTATGTGTAAAATTATTTTACGAGAGAATGGGATTGGAAAATGAGTTTTGCAAAAAAATGGAGTTCAAATAGGGGCTTAGTAGACAAGATTGAATAGCAGTGAACTGTATGATGGTTAGCTATAGTTGTCTTCTCAACAATCAACATTGTTTGAAAATTTGACCGTAACACAATGTTTATGGCTAGTGTTGAAACTTGCAATCAATGTCGGATCAACTTAAAATTTGATGATCTAGTCGATGACTCAATGTGACTCGGACAAAAGTGGTACCTTTTTTGTTCATACTTCAAATAATTTTTAACCTACCGAAGTACGATCATCACACATTGACAAGAAATTTGTGTTGGCGAGGGACCGAAATAGGTCATCGGAGTTTGCTGTGCAACAACTATCATGATTCAAGCACTTACTACATTATCGCACAACCCGCGAGGAACACTCTATGCACAAGTTTTGGTCAATCACTCCAGCAGCAGCCATCGACTTCAAGCACACCCCTTCACTAAAATGGGCTGAAATGCGTTGGAGAGACGGTGTTCTATTCGGTAATGTATGATGTACCTTCATAATTTATTGAAGTATTTTTTGTAGACAATCGGTTCAAATGTCGGCGTTTAGTTTCCTAAATTCTCAAATACTTGAGGGGAATTATTCACAGAAACCATACTGGTGCTGCATTAAGGTGCATTTTCTGCCATTATTGGGTTCAAAAGGAATGAAAAATTGGCCAGTGTTATTCTTTAAAAATCAATTTTTGTCATGTAGCATAACCGAATACTTAAAATTAACCCACTTCAAAGTTGGTTGTATGAATGTACGTATATTACATTGGAGAGAAAAAAAAATACAGAAACCAGAGTGGTGGAGTGAGTGAGGAGGGTTCCATTCTCCTTGCATGAGTGCATCAAAGTACTTCAAGGTAGGGGCCTCCGATGCTTATTTGCTTTCTATCACTATGTTTTTACTTCCATTTCAACCGAGCTTTTGCCTGAAATTTCATGCCTGTTACTTTTTTTTTTNATGAAAAATTGGCCAGTGTTATTCTTTAAAAATCAATTTTTGTCATGTAGCATAACTGAATACTTAAAATTAACCCACTTAAAAGTTGGTTGTATGAATGTACGTATATTACATTGGAGAGAAAAAAAAAATACAGAAACCAGAGTGGTGGAGTGAGTGAGGAGGGTTATTTGCTTTCTATCACTATGTTTTTACTTCCATTTGCTTTCTCCTTGCATGAGTGCATCAAAGTACTTCAAGGTAGGGGCCTCCGATGCTTATTTGCTTTCTATCACTATGTTTTTACTTCCATTTCAACCGAGCTTTTGCCTGAAATTTCATGCCTGTTACTTTTTTTTTT